AACAACTGCCTGGATAATTTAAGCTTTGCAAAGTAATAAGCAACTGAAATCTGAATTGTACCGCAGGCAAACAAACTAAAGACGTCTTGGCAAACAACACTTACAGTGTACTTCCCAGTGTTCACGTCATTCAATATTTGGTCCTCCAGGTAACTTAACTCACCAACTTTCATCCTCACAAGAGATACATTACCACAAATAGCCACTTTTCTTCTGAGTAAGCTGTTGCTCAGACAGCCCGAGATACCTGGCACTCGCATTTAGTTGTCAAACCTGTTTAAGTTCCATGTTCCCTTAACTATTTATGTTTGCTATAATTATACAATGAATGTATGCTCATAAAAAGAGCTGCATGGTTCCCCAAAGACTTGAGTATGTTCTGTAAAATACTGGTAATTATGGGGGGTGGAGAGGCAGGAGAGTAGTCATGGTTCTCAAAATAAATCACTCTTTCAAGGACCATGGCCTTATGGTACATTAGAAGTAAAATAAATATTCATCAAGTTAGCATTTCACAGTCAGTTGCTGACTTTATGAATGGCAGCAACAGTAGAAAGGTTAGAGTGACCCTACATGCTTTTGCATATTTGCAAGTCAATGTGCTGACCAGAGCAACCTGTTGGATGCTAAAAGTAAAATGTGGCTTGGATAACAAAGTTACAAGCAATGCTTGATTGAACTTCACCGCGCTGCAAATAGCTTTCTCCATATTTTCGCTGTCACTATATAATGTCAGTGTCATAAGGTAAAATCACAGCAATTGCCCTGATGTTGGAGTTAAATAATACTGTTTGTGCAAATGTCCTGACAGGCTCAGCACAGCTTGTCCAAGCACACAAGTTGCCTGAGAAGTGTTGTCTCATAGTTAGGGCATAGAACAGGAATTTGCGAGTCCTGTTAAATGAAGCTTCCTGGTATGAGCAACAAGATTAAGATATCCATATTTCAGCTTGCCTGTCTTTACGATGGGGATATCAGCAGTTTACTATTTGGGTACTGTGAAGAGAACATAACTGACAGCGCACATTCTCAGCTCCTTGGATAGAAGAAAGCTCTAAAAACATGCTTAAACTACTGAAGAACCTCTGCTGTCTTAAGGCAATCTGGTTCTGCATGGCTATTCTAATGTCTGGGCTTCCTTCTCCAGCTCACAGCCCCATCTTCCCTTAAAAATAGAAGGATAATAAAAAAACTTTCCAAAGAGCCAAGGAAAGACTACGGACCAAATCCTATTCCACCTATTCAGTGTCTAAATGATACTCAAGTATCTAAGGGCATTTGTACACAACACAAGGGGTTAATTATCCCTAAATTGAAGTTGTGGTTTGTTAAAAACAAGGCTTCAATTTAGGGAAAAGTAAACCCCTGTGTTGTGTACACCTGCGTCCACCCAATCCTTACCTATCTCTCTAGCAGTGGGGAGGGGAGAGCGAGCTGCTGGCGGGCAGAGTGGTCCCTGAGCTACCCGGGGGGCGGTGGGGGGTAGTGGTGAGACTGGTGCTTCCCTCCACAGCCGCGGCAGCCCACCCTGCCTAATCACCTGGCTCGGGCAGTCCCAGGGGGTACCACAGCTGCAGAAGGAAGCACTGGGCCCCTGTGCAGCTCAGGTAGGCAGGCTCCAGGGGAAAAATAAATAAATAAATCAGGCTCGCCACTTTTTTTTCCCCCCTTCTGTAGAGCCTGCCTTCCCAGGCTGCTGCCAGCCTGTCTGCATGGTCTGCTTGCACAGCCACACGGAGCCCAGTGCTTCCCTCCATGGCTGTAGGGTAGGAAACAAACTCCTCGGAGGTGTTTTAGTTTGCAGCACCCCAAAGTCATTTGTTGCATCCCAAAGTCACGCCGCCAAATGTGTTACAGAGGCTGGAATTAACACGCAATACACCGCCGAATGTGCAAACAGCAATGCCATTAAAGCAGTGCAAAAGGCATTTAACCCACTTTAAACACGCTTTAAAGTGTCGTCTACAAACGGCCTAAGGGTTTATCTGTGCTGCGTACCCAGAGACACCTGCTTCTGAGCATGCCTTGCCCATTTACTCCCACTCCCACTTGCCAATCCCAGAAATCTCTCTCATTTGCCAATCCCTGCTGCTTTGCTGGGTTGGGCACATGTGAGCAGAAGCAGGTGGGTGAGTCATGGTTAGTAGGTGGTGCCTCTGGCAGCAGTGGGGATGGGGTGTAGACACCTTAAGTGTAATCATCTTCCACCATGCTCAAGTCCCTGAAATACCATTTATGCAAAAAGGTGGCTGCTAGTCTTCCTACTTCCTGCTTTTTAGGGCTTCACCTTAAGTCTAGGACAAAAGCACTTTACAATAGTAGCAGGGATGTTAACATTGTGGTATAGGACTGAATTTACAGCTGAAAGCTAGACTAGGATGTGGCCCCCTAGCCATGTTTCAAGCCAAAATAGGCCCAGGACTGGAAGGATAATTCGGGTATCGGTGATTCACTTTTTGCTGAGACACCTCAGGGGAATGTTTAAATGTAAAGGCTGTATATGCGTTTGCTAAATCCTACAGCAGACTGCTTTTCCCTTCCTTTCCTAATGTATTTTGGTTGGATTATACTGATTCTCCCTATGCCTGAAGAAGGGTGTTTGTGCCTGAAAGCTTGCAAAGAACAATTTTTCCAACTATTTAGTTGGTCTAATAAAATATATCACATTTACCCAAAGAACCTTGTCTCCCTAGACATAAGACACATATTCTCCCCACAGAGCACCGTGTTGCACCATTAATCAGTACACAGATTGGGCAGAAAACACTTTCCCAAATAAACACCTTGTCTCCAACCCAATAATGCAACAACTGGGCTTCAACCTTCTGCAGAGCACGTGGACAACCCTTAATAGGATGCACATTGGACATGGTTGGTATGGCCACCTAAGGTACAGGTGACACCTTAAAACCTCGTCCGGCTGCAACTGTGGAAACCCTGACCAAACCATGCAGCACATAACATCATCTTGGCCCAGATACAAGTTTGAGGGTAACATCCTGGAGCCGCACTCGCTTTCCAGCTGGGCATTGGTCTGGCTGGGGAATTTGGAATTAAAACTGTGACTACAGCTCCTGCTCCTGAAACCATACAAAAGAAGTGCACAGATACTGAGCAACAGGCATGCCCCTCCCACCCCACAGCCACTAAAATTTGTATTTGCTTCTCCCTGCACAAAAATGACATAATAATACATTACATAATTTTGAGACTGAGAAAAATATTCTTAAACAAACTATTTATTGAAAAGACTATATTTTTAATGAGACTAAGCGAGGAGGGGAGAGATAAAGCTTAGAACACAACTTCAGGTTGACCAGCTATAAGCTTGCTAACAGCAGTCAGAACATTAAGCAGTATACTTCAGTTTTCTAATTTAGATATTAATGAGGCAAACATTAAACATACAAAGGCGATAACTCTGTTCTTCAAAGTTAGGGGTGCTCACTGAAATCAAAGCACACATGCATTCGGGGGAGAATCTAATCCTAATTATTTATGAACAGTAAAAGTTACACACATAAGGTAGAAAGAGATTATGCTCTGCACAATTTCTTTAGTTCTTCCATACTGAGAAAGGAAAAATGTGTCATGGTGGCAAGAACTGATAAAAGTGATCCCCAGTCTCTCAAGATGCTGGATGGGGGCTCACTGAGAATTTGTTTTTTTCATCTCCAAGGGTGGACAATCATTTCCTTCAAAACTAAGAAGCTCCAGTCTGTACGCACAGTTCTCACTCATTATGGCCTTTAAAAATATAATATTGCCTCCCCCACCCCCACCACACGCGCGCGCGCGCACACGCACATCAGGTTTACCTTGAATGGATGGTGTTTTGACACGCACAGAATTCTGATTCCTTGTTGTAGTCAAATTTGGGCTAATTTTTGCCTAAGGCATTAATAGGGTCAAGCTGGTTAATATGATATAAAACTCTGTGTATAGAACAGGGGTGGGCAAAATATGGCCCGCAGGCCAGATCCATCCTGCCAAGGGATTTTATCTGGCCTGTGGCAGGTCCCTTGGCCCCTCCTAGCCCAGGCGCAGGGGGCAGCCCAGGCAGTTGCATGTGCAACCGGTCCCGCTGCCCGCCAGGCACACAGCCGGGTTGGGGTGGCACAGCTGGGTTGGACTGGACTCCTCTTCCCAGCAGCCCTGGTGGTGGTGGCTCCTTCCAGCTGCTGCTGCCAGATCACCATTGCTGGACCCAGCCCCACCACCTAGGCACCCTGGCCTGTCTGACCTGCTAGGGCTCTGGACAGAGCAGGCGGGTGGGGTATACATGGAGACCGGCCCAAGACCCACATAGGCAGGGCATGCTCAGCTGGGAGGATGGGAAAGGACTGAGGGCGGGCAGGGAGCAGGGTCCAGAAGCAGGATGGGTGAGTGGAGCTGGGGCCAGAGCTGGGATTGTGGAGCGGTGACAACATGGGGTTAGGGCCCAGGGCAGAGCCAAGACCCACTGCTCACACGTCCAAGACAGGTGCTGGTTCCACCAGGAGGGGCATGCAGGGAGTGGATCGCGGCTGTGCCCCAGGCCGCAGCCCTGCCTACCCATCCCCACCTGCCCATGGCCCCATTCCATCGGCCTGGCCGAGTGCACTGCCCACGTGGGGCCTGGGCTGGTCTCCATGGGGACCCTGGGATCACAGTGCAAGGCTGAGGCCTGGGGCAGAGCTACTTAGGGAGTTTTGGTGAGCTGTTGTGGGCTGAGCGCTGACTTGGTCCACAACAGCTCACCAAAACTCCCTAAGTGGTCCTCTGGCCCAAATAATTGCCCACTCATGGTACAGAAAGTCACCTGGTATACTCCCAAAATTTCTGTGACAGAAGTTTTGATAGTATTAAATACATACAGTAGATTATACACAATTCAAGTATTTTTTAAAATTATGTCTGTAGGCAAGCCCATACATATCCATCACCAGCTAGTGATGAGCAGCATCATATGATCCACTCCAATCAATAAAACATGCCAGATGTATCTGTCAGCCTCCTACCTTGGCTCCATCCACACTGATAATCCGATAGCTGTTTCTTGTGCTGTCATAGAAGTAGGAAACAGTTACAGCCTGCTTGCTTGCAGGAACCCAGTTCTTCTTGGTGCTGGGGTCAATTTGGAAGACATGTGCTCTGGTTGTGAAGATGGGCTGTTCTCTGGAATAGGGAGGGACAGGAGAAATGGATGCATGAGCTTGTGGAAGATGAAATGTAGAAATCTGCTCTTGATCAAACTTGTTGAAAAGAGCAGGCCTGACCTTGCAGTTCACACGACAGAAATCCAGAGTTCGGTGGAAAAACCGGCGCAGTAAAATTGCTGAGTCAGCACTCCAGCCTTCTGTACCTATGCTTGGCCATCCATAGTACATTTAGCTTCCTATGGTGACTGACCCTAGCCCAAGGAGGACTCAACAGTACCAGTCCAATTTTTGTCCCCCAGATGTTATAACAACTTGACACCGTTAAAAAAAATGAGAGCCTTTTCTGGCTAAACGGCACCTGCATCTGCTCCATGTAGATTGCTACATCGTTTCCTGAAGATACACCAATTCCTTTCTTCCCAATCATTCAGTCATACGAGTCAGACTCACTGCAGTCTCCTAGCCATTCTATCAGACCAAAGTGTAATTATTTAAATACTGGAATCTTGATTCAGTTTGTTCTATGGATCACCGTAAAAATTTCATCAGATACAAACACAGTTAACCACCCTGGGGGAAGGAAAGGGAGGAGAAGGAGGAAGCTGTATTGCATTTCAATTCAATAAGTTGCATTTATGAGTGAAACATTTGCCTCCACCTCCCAGCTTCACTCCTAAATACAACACTGTTTTCTAAACATTTTTACAGAACAAGACAGTACCATACACAGTGCAGGGTATTTTTTTTTAAAGGTTTGACAGTATAAATAGTGTATGAGAGCTTAAAAGATATACATGTAATTATTTGAACTGAATATTGCAGTTGAGATTTTTTAAAACATTAAAGCAGTAACATAGGTAAATCTCACTTCCAATTTAACTTACGGTATTTGCTCGAATATAAGATGACCCTGAACATAAGGTGACCCCCCAAAATAATTACAGTCTATATATGGAAAATTTATAAATTTATTATAATTTTCCAGATATAGAATCTAAGTACTGGAGTTCTACCTCCCCACACTGTACAACAGGGAAAGCACTGTCTGGGGGGAGGTCAGGTGCCTGCCTTGCTCTCTGCCCTATCCACTTCTTCCCCCTGCAGCCTTCCTGCCCCCCATGCCACCTGCACCCCTCCATCTCCCCACAGCCTCTATCCCTCTTCCCAGTGTCTCTTTCCCCCAAGCTCCCCCCCAGTTTCTGCCCTTTCATTCTGCGTTCCCCCCCCACTTTTACTGTCAGACCTGCTCAGGCTACTTCGTCCGAGAGCACAGCACATGGAAGCTCAGCTCTTGTCTGGTCATGCAGCGGTGTCAGTGCTGCTAATCAGGAGGGCAGGAGAATGAGCTCCATGCTCTCTGATGGGAGAGACCCCATCCCCAGTTGTAGCCGAGCTGCACCTGACAGTAAGGAGGAAGGAAGAGGGCAGGTGAGGGGGCCAGAAGTAGTGCAGATTGGAAGTGGGTGTGGAGCTGTGGGTCTCACTCTAGCTCTGAACTGAGCTCCGGGCCAGTCAGAACCGTAGCAGCCACCTCCTTCCCCTCCATTTCCTATGCGAATAAGACAAGGGGCTTTTTTCCCCAGGCTAATTGAATAAATATGGTATGACTGCCACCTAAGTTTAAATTCTAATTGCAAAGCAAAATCTAATCATGCTTATATATTCCTTTGTGCCCTTAATTTTTGCGGGCTACATGTTTAAAACATAATATTGCATATTACATGATTACACTATTCAGTATGCTTTTATCATACAATGCTTTTATCACTGAATGATATACCATTAGTATCTTAGCTTGCTGGTCATGATACAGAAAAGCCACTGTATTAGAACGCAACCCTTTTTGACAGCCTCATAGTACAGCCTCATTTACAACACAAACTGAAAAGCTGCCCTAAAGAGTCTTCTATAGGTTTGACTGATAATGGCTAGGTGACAATGCTCGTTACTCCTCCCCCACCCTTTTTTAATGTACTCACTTCAAAGCCACCAACCTGTGCAGTTATCTGGTCACATGGATGGGTATTTTTATTAGTGCTTTAATCATGTTCAGTCCCTTTATTTTTCTGATAGTTTATTAGGCCCAGTTATGTTATTTTTGGCTACTTTCAGTTGTTCAAGGCAGGGACCGTCTTTTACTCCATTTGCACAGCACCTAGAGTAGCAGAGCCCTAATCCAAACTGAAGCCTCCAGGTGCTGGCATAATAAAAAAAACCTAATTAGTCATCATCATAAAATTAACATTAATCAATGTCAGGGGCAGGGTTGTAAATGTACTGACATCAAAGCATATCTAATTGCAGAATTATTTCAATAAAGGTAGTCTGATATTAAAAAGCCTAATGAGGCCTAAAAAGAAAAAAAGTGTACAAATGCAAAAATCATGTTTTTTTCCTTGTTAGACATATGCAAAGCTTAATTTTTCAAAAGCTGTCAGATAAAGTTTCTTGATGAAGGGCTGCACTGAGTTCAATAAAACATGTGTGGAAAGAACTGCAAGTACAATGGGGCTGTTACATGTGCGTGAAGGAATGTCATTTACTCCAGGTTTTTCTTCACCAGTAGCATTTTGAGACTGATGCAACATTTAGTCTTAGGTATGGGATTCTGGCTTTCATTTACTATGCTAATATTTTGGCAATCCCTAGCTAGACAAAGCGGGCAGTTCTTTAGGCCATTCCAAGAATACTTTCATCGTACATTATGGAGGCTCAGCATCCAGAACCCCAGAGAACTGTCAGGTTTTTATGTAGCTAGTGAGAGTGAGTCAACCTTCAAGCATGGCAATCGTTTCCTTCACATGAAAGTCCACTGGAGTGTCACCTAAGTAAGCTACTTTAGTTTACTTATAATGGAAGCCAGTGAAGTTTCTCCTTTAACCTATTTGGTTCTTTCCCTGTAAAAAAAAAAAAAAAAAAAAAAAATTTTTTTGGGGTTTTTTTATTTTTTTTTCCCCCCCCCCCCGCCCCCCGACTTACTAAGGAGCTACCGCATATATTTCCTTTTTTGTCTTGCTCTGTTGTTCTGCATTCTGTTATCAAGGATCATTCACTAACTATAATATAATGCCATTTACTTCAAACAACAGTGTCAAGATTTTTGGATTTTTATTATACCTTCCCCTTTCCCCAAACTCTAGACCCATCAGTAATTTCACAAATAAATGCCTGTTAAGTCATCTTCCAAATGCCAGAAAATATTATTGAGTTTCCTGCATCCTCTATGTGTCCTCATCTGTAGTAAACTACGTACAATGCAGGGACAGGCAATTATTTCTGCTAGAGGGCCACTTAACGAGTTTTGGTGACCTGTCGAGGGCCACAAGGGTAGCCTCACCCCTTGACAGCTGCCCTGACACCTGGTCACCATCTTGGGTCCAGAACTCCCACCCCCAACCCCTGACCTTTGCTACTGTAAGTCCCTCCCCTTGCCCACTGAAGTACTCCTTTTGGGAAGGGGGTTTGCTATCTTGGAACCGAAAAAAAATTATACACTAAAAAAATCAAACATTGACATATTTTAATTTTATTTATTTTTCTATTTGTTCAGATTTGTGTGCATTTGCATTGCATATTTAGAGGCAATTGCATAATAGCTCAAAATGAAGTCTTACTCTTGTATATTGTGGGAGGTGGGGAAGGGTGTGGTGTTACTGGTGGCTGGGTATAGGGTTTTACGGGACGGTAGGGGTGTGTGGATGTGAGTGTATGTGGGGTGTGGGGATACATGTGGATGTGGGTGGATGGATATGGGAAGCTTGTAGGGGGTGTTTGTGGGGATGTGTGGGGGTGTGTGGATGGGTATGAGGTTTGTGGGGTGTATGTGGGGTTCTGCAGCCCCCTGGGCATGCAACGTGGCTGGGGCGGCTGTGGCAGGACTGCCTTTCCAGACAGCCCAGGCAGCGGAAGGTCCTTCTGGCTGTCTGCTGCTGGCCCCAACCCTGCCCTACCAGAAGGGACCTGTGTGCAGCCCTGATCTGGCATGCCCCATGCCTGCTCTGGACTTGCCTGTACTAAGCAGCGCCAGCACTGGGCAGAAACTGTTGCTGGGTTAGGGGGAGAAGAGGAGAATCGGTCCCTCCCCCTTGCTGCTGCCAGCGCTTCTTGGTGCAGCCGCCTGGACCCCACACTGGGCTGCCCGGCATCTCTGCCACCTCCGAGCTGCCCAGCCAGTGCAGAGCAGATGCAGAGCAGTCCGACACAGGGTCCAGGCAGCTGCACAGGGAAGTGCTGGCAGCGGCAAGGGGGAGGGGACATTTTTCTCCTGCGCCAAGCAACAGTTTCTACCTGGCGCTGCTGCTGCTCAGTACAGGCGAATCCAGACCAGGCATGCGGGGTGCCAGATCAAGGCTGCGCACAGGTCTCTGTTGGTACCAGGGGGCTGGATCCAGCAGCAGCCTGAACTCTCTAGAAAAGGCAGTCCTGCTCCAGAGCCACCCCAGCCCCACTGTGTGCCCAGGGGGCGGCAGGATGCACCACAGGCAGACAGTGCCTGGGCCAGGCAGGACAGAGGGACCCTCCACAGGCTGGATCCAACCCATGGGCTGTATTTTGCCCTCCCTGATATAATGCAACAAAAATGGGAAAGTAGCTAGAAGAAGCAGAAGATACTGAGAATGAATTACAACATACAGTGAAAAAACATAAGGAGAGATAGGAAGAGGCAGACAGCAAAAGAGAGAAAATGGATATGGAAAATAATGCAGAGGAAGAGGCATTCTTGTTCACTATATGTTTTGTTTTTTAATTGGAATGAAAAAGGTGGAGGGGACGATTCACAACTAGTGAGTCAGATTTGATATACATAGAAAAGGCCAAATTTTTCTATCTATTACACCAACAATATGCTTAGCTTCAAAGGGTATAAGGCAGAATAATTTAGTCCCTTATAACTTAATTTTAAAGGCATATTACATGTCTATTTGTTATATTTCAAGTGCAAATACCCTGCAATTGACATCTAAATAAAAACCATGCAGTTACCATCTAGAATAATAATGTGCAAGAAAAAGATCT